TACACTGACTCCACTACTGGCACGGCGGAAGTGGGCTGCGTGGGGGAGGTTATTAAGCACGAGAGCCTTGTGGATGATCGATTCTTTTTAATATGTAAAGGGCAGGAGCGTTTCCGTGTGACCAAATTTGTGCGAACCAAGCCTTATTTAGTGGCGGAGGTGGTTTGGCTTGAGGACCGCCCCTCGGGAAATGGCGAGGTGGACGACTTAGATGCCTCGGCGAACGAGGTGGAAATGTACATGAAGGATGTGATTAGATTATCCAATAGGTTGAATGGGAAGCCTGAAAAAGAGGTTCAGGATTTGCGGAGGAATCTTTTCCCTACTCCATTTTCGTTCTTCGTGGGAAGTACTTTCGAGGGAGCACCCAGAGAGCAGCAGGCATTGCTGGAGTTGGAAGATACTGCGACCAGGTTGAAGAGGGAGAAGGAGACTCTGAGAAACACACTAAATTACTTGACGGCTGCCTCTGCTGTTAAGGACGTATTTCCTTCATCGTAAGATGATGGGGAATGTGAGGATGAAATGATAGGTATTATTATTTGATTAAGGAACTGTGTAACTTGTGATAGTTATACTAAAAGTAATGGTTTTCATCAGTATGTGTAAAGAATTGCAGTTTTGCATACGGAATGTTCCTGTTTTTTTTTTTTTAATCTTTTATTTATTTCTCTCTCTGTGTTGCCATATTGACTTGTACATATAAGCTGATAGAGTGGGGCCGTAGGGGTGAGGACTGACGTGCATTATGTATTTTCCTTTCGAGTTCATACTTTTGAAATTTGTAGCACAGGTTACTGTGTTGTATATGTATACGATTAGACTTTAATAGGTTCTTGACCGTACATTGAAAGCAGAATGCAGAGACCAGAAGCATGAAGCATGTTAGATGTAGTTTCTTTTTTCAGTTCTTTGATATTCATATCTTGTAGAACTGTAGAAGAATTAAAATGGGAGATGGATATGGATTTATGAAAGAAGAATATCTTCTGCATATAGGAACATCAAGTTATATAATCAATCCTGCTGTTAATTACCATGGGATGATGCTTCTCAAATACAGTCAAAACTACGGGTTTATTTAAAACGTTTGTTTGGCAAATGAGCTTCTATAATATGATGGCTATGATTTGGGCAGCTCTGTTTACAGTCTTTCTTGGAAATTATGTAGTTCTTCAATTTGGAGGTTTGTCTATGTTATTTGCATGGAGATTTAAAGAAAAGGTGTTGCATTGTTAAAGGAAATCGTGGGTTAATTTGTTGAATAATGCTACTTGTACATAAGTACTCACATAATGGTTTACATGTAGACGATGTGTCGAAAAGAGTGGGAAAGTATTTTTTTATTTGGTTGAAGAATTTTGACCAAATCACATCTCACCACCTCATGAGTATGTAAACTTATAATGTACATATAGCACAACTGTAACTTGTTATTTGGACGAATTCAAAGTAACATATTTCTAAGTTACTTGGTCGAGGTACAATAACTATTGCAGAGTTCATTGTTCATTCTCTAAAGGTAGCTATTATTTGCAAGGCAACTATTTACATGCTGATGCTTTAGCTTCTCTTTTTGCTTTAACAAGATCAGAGATCTCCCTGACTCCCTTTAGCTCAAATTAGCGAATGTAATTAGGGATTATATTTTTTGCCATATTGAAGGTTGGTTGGGTGACCTAACGCAATTTCTACGTTTGCCACTGTATCCTTCAACTGAGGTATTTAACGATTTCATGAATATGAGCCTCTTAAACCTGTTGCTACCTTTCCTTGCAAATGCAACACTTTGCTTGTGTTGGGGTTCCTCAATTACTTTTGATAACCTTCCATAGATTCATTTCTATTTTTCTTATTCACTTGACTTAGTTTCTGCTCGTATCTTTTATGAATAGCTGATTGTGCGCCTAATGAATCTGAAGATAAGAATTCTGTGTGTTCTTACATATAGTTCACATGTATTTGTGAACGTGAGGTTTGTTTATGAACCTAGAGAATCCATTATTGTGCACATCTTGAATTGGTTTCCATACAGTAGTTATATACCCAGTCTTTGGGTAACTGCAGTAAAAGGCTCTAAAGATGGGTAACGAGATTGAACTGTAGTAAAATGCTCTATAGGTGGTAACAAGCACCAGTAAAACGACCCTCTTCTTAACTTACCAATCTTTAAACTGTGCCGTAGAATTTCATAGGCGATTTATCATCTTTTGTGCACCAGTATTTCTCAATGAGGTTTTGGTTGATCCAAGACAGCCGATAGTTGTTGGTTACATTGCCTATTGTGTCCAGAGACCTTGGGTAGAATGATTGTTGTAACTTGTAAAGTAAAATCAACAATTCCCAGCAATAATGAAAGAATACTAGAATCTTAAGCGCAAAAATACAATGCCTGGTCCAAATTTGTTCGATCTTTAGAACCAAAATATTTAAATACACAAGAATAATGTAAGATCAAAAGGATTACTCGAATACAATGGCAGCATACTAAAAACCTACAATGATCAGGATGTGCCGCTGAAAAACATAACTGCAGCACAAATACGTTCATAGAAACTAGAATTTTAACCATCTAACTCGATCATCGAAAGGAGAAATCTGATCATCTAACTCGTAGAAAAGTTCTTCCCAAGTTGCTTTGCTATTGTGGCATTGCCAATTTGCTGCAATCATTATGAATTAAAATGTCAAATATGGTAAAGCAAAATGCAAAAAAGTAACTTGTATGAAATTCGCCCACTAGAATTACTTCTCAACGAGAATCCTGTGGGGACATGATAGAACCACCAAAAAAAAAAAGGGATGAGATAAAAGGAGAGTTGAATCAAACCTTGAGGCACAGATTCCTTCTCGTGTCGCATATTGGATAATCATGTGGGCAACAGTGACTCTGGTCCTTGCAACAAACTGCAGATTCTGCCCCGCAACATTTCCATTTCAAGCATAATCCTAGAAAGCGCCGAGCGCAGCAGCAGGTTTCACCACTGGAGCAGTAAGTGAAAAGGTTACATCTGGTAGGCGTTGGGGAAGGAGAGGGGGGAGGATTTGGGCTCGTCTTGACAGGGTACGAAGCTAGCGTGTTAATCCCACAAATGCCTTGTGGATTGCCATTATTTCGTAGCATATGCATATAGCCGTCCATTCCCCAGTATTTTCCCCAAGAATTCTTCACAATCCAATAATCCTTTCCGTTTTTTGAATCATAACCCACAATCAGTACTGCATGATCCAAAGAGGTCGAGCATGGCCCCGTGAATATGCCCTGCATCCAATCATATATAGATTTTATCTGCCTCTTAGTTTTAGTAAAGCACAATTAGGTGCAAGTTTTGATCAGCACTGACCTTGGAGTACAGCTGAAACGATCTGTCACTCCCACATAGACCAACGCTAATAGGCTGAGTTGCTACAGCTTGTAGTAGCCGTTTCTCATCTTTGGCAGGAATGTCAACATAACTATCGATAGTCACAACATGTCTTTTGAGCTGCAAGGTAGATCAGTAGGCAAACATGTTAACGACTAAGCCCTAATCTCAATCTCAAGAGCAATAGAAAATCAAGCTGAAATCATATGCAAAGCAAATGCTCAGATTTATAGTGCTTCACTCTCAATGGGGGAGCTACCTGCAATATATACTGAAAGTTTTCACTAAAACCGAGAAGTACACAACAGAGATCTCACGACTTATCTTTTTTGTATCTCACACATAGAAATGTCACCCTTAGCTAGGTTCCTTTATAGCACAAATCAAAGACAAGAAAACAATCTACTTAATAAAATAAAAAAACGTCTCTACTCTCTCGGGCTCAGACAATTGGGTCCTTCTGGGGAGGGTGTTCATGAGAGGGGATTAGTAGAAGAGTTACATACTTTCTCTTTGTTGCAAGTTTTTTCTCGACCTTGATAGGGATAATCCTTTTCTGTATCAATCCCGTGGTTTTTTATAACGAATTCATATGCATAATCCATGAGCCCACCTCCGCAACCATCATTATAAGATTTGTCACAATCAATTAACTCTTGCTCAGACAGGCTGATGAGCGATCCTGTCTTTATCTTGTTTATGCCTTCCATTGCCCCGGTAGCAGAGAATGACCAGCATGCACCTTGAAAAAAATATAAAATAAAAGACAGTAAGTTAATATTCTTTTCCTTTTCTCTCAGTTTTGCAGCAGCATAAATTTGTTATGATAGAGGTCAATACAAGATATGATTGAAGGAAGCTACTGAACAGGATATGCCAAAATAGTTTTACTAGATCAGGGGTAGTCTGCAAACAAGATTTATGATAAACATTTAGAATAAGTTCCTTGGTCGATTGGAACTATCATTGAAATTTGAGAGAGTGTTGCAAGCAGAATAGGAATGGATCTAGATGTCCTTTTTAACACATTACTAGGACATAAATGTAATTTTGATCATTCACTTGAAAAAGGAAAATGAACAACCAGCCTCAAACATGGAAAATCAGATATGGATGTTACAGCAAATTCCAGCTACACTCTCTGAGTTTTTAGGCTCCATCCTGAGCATAGTTGGGGGCTTTAACAATATCCCCTATCAGTATATTGATAATCGACAGAATTACAAGGAGGCAGACATCAGGCCGAGCTCTCATGAATTAAATAAAGCGGCAGAAAAGAAATGCAAAAGCATAACCTATGCGTCAAACTACTACTTCCATTGCAAGGATCAAGAGTAACTTACTAAGCTTAAGAATATTACAATCACTTCTATGGCTCTGGTGCTCTTCATTTGACTTCACTGACTCCAAAAAGGATTCCAAATCATGTCATTCAAATCTAAAGCTACTAGTCACAAACTCTCAGTTAAGAAGCGGGTTGAATGGAATGGTGGGACAAGAAAAAAGGATTATAAGGAGAAAAAATATACAAATATATATATATATATATATAAGGCTGTTATATATCTGTAAACTTTCGTCCCAGAAACAGCAAAACCCACGAAGATATGAAGGTTTAATGGGGTAAATTGTAAAAATAGGTTTGTCTCCATTCTTGTACATCTCCAACTTTCAACAAGTTTAGATATAATAATTCAGAAAATTTATACTTTACAGAGTTGATGGAAAAGGACTACTGCTTATCAACAAGAAGAAAAAACGATTGACAATTTATCATGTTTCAAAACTTAGGCATCTTATTGGTTCATCAGAATTACAAAAATTGGAACTTTATACCAAAACAGAAAAAAATCCGAACACTAGCAGAAACTAAAACATAGAATATGAACTCCAAACTAATGCAGCAAGTAAAGAATTACAAGTCAATGATTCAATTACTGGAAAAACCAGTCTTTGTATGGTACAATTCTAAATATACTCTACGGAGGATAAATAAATATACTCCAAAAATCAAGCGATAGAAAATACTGCATACCACAGCTTCCTTGATCTTTGACTCCAGTAACAGCTCCTTTCTTCCTCCAATCCAGTGAAGAAGGAATATCAGATTCCTTAACAAGATTCAACCCTTCAACTGGACTTGACCCGCGATTGCGATTCAATCGGATTATCGAATCATCTGGTGAAGGTGAGAGTCCCAAGTACTTGGCCTTGAACTCATGGTGAGTGAGATCAGCATAGGCATTAAGAGAGAGCGAGTAAGAAAAATTACCCAAACTATTGTGGTGGGAAACGTATGCATAGTTTTCTTCAAACACCTTGAGTCTGTATTCTTTTTCTTGAGCAGAATTGTATGTTTTGCCATACTGTTGGCACCAACTGTCAAAAAGATCGGAAATTGAAGAAGATTCACAGGTGGGCACGTAAAAAAATAGAAGAACTAGATACACAAATGGCCATAACCAACGCATTTTAGAGAGGGGAATGTTTGAATGTATTCTTCTTTCTTTGTTTTTTTGGGTGAGAGTTGGAATAGATTCTCCTAGAAAAGTGGCGAGCCAAGGGGATCGAGAAAGTGGGCTTTATCAATTGGAACTTGTCTAAATGGGAATTGAGCTCCAATGTTTGCTGTACGAAGGAAAACCAATTGTTGTTGCAAACTGGTCAAGAAGAGGTAGAGAAGTTGAATTGTAATTCTTTGTTGGTAAATATTTGTGATGTGTTCGTCTAATTGTTACTGATAGGACTTCCACTAATCTAATTGAAATTTTGTGATCCCAACATCAATTTCTAATAGGTGCGATTTCAAGATGCCCATTTTTTAGCCATAGAAAATGAATTTTGTGATTGTTGGAGCATCAACTTAAAAAATAATGTAAGATGAAAAATCAACAATTTTGTAAACTTATTATTTTTATTAAAAAGTTGGTCAAACTTCATTTTAAATTACAAATTTCATTCTATTCACGACTTTTATTCACTTTTAACTACAAATTTCATGAGTCCAGTCACCGTTGAACGTGGATTTCACGTTATTATGAAATGATTTGTAAGTGTTGTAAAAATAATATTTGAATATACGTGAATATTAATTAATTTATAATTAATATCAGGAAATATATACGTAATAATAAATGTTGGATCATTTATTTAATTTTTAATTAAGTAAATATGGATGTTAATTAGCATACACAAACGTAAATAATGAAATGCATTGTTGAATACGAAATTCTAATTAACTTATAATTAGAATTAATAATACTGAAACAAATAAATGAAGATAAATATTAATTAAATGAATGTAAATGTTAATTAATTGAGAATTAATAATANATTAGAATTAATAATACTGAAATGCATAAATGAAAATGAATATTAATTAAATACATGTGAATTTTAATTAATTGAGAATTAATAATAGGAAATTCATACATTAATGAAGGGACACGGGTGAAGTGAATTTATTAAATGTACATATACATTGATGATAACTAAATGGTTAAATAAATTAAATAAATATTAAAAAAGAAATGTAAGGTATTATTGAAATAATTGAATTATAGTATGGATATAATCAATCAAAAAATAATTCTCATTTGATGTGATATTTAATATATTAGAGATGTACCAACTTTTATTAACTTTATTTGCTAATCATCTACATTGACAAGCACAAAAAATAATTTTTTGAAAAATATATGGTTAAAAAGTGGAGAAAAATTATAAGTTTACATGTAAAATTATTTTATTTGGAGAATGTGTGGTATAAAATGAGTTTGAGAAAAAAATTCAAATAAATGACTGCTGATTTTAGGTTTGATTCTTTATGGAGCCATAGAATTAGCATTATTGATTACTGGACTAATTTAATACACTGGATTTATATTTCTCTGGAGAATTCCTGTTAGCAGAACAATGAAAAGAAGCAAAAAATTTCAATTTTTTGAACATTGCT